AGCCGGATGCTATAAGGGCCACGTTTTTCCTCTTTAGACGTGGAATTCATAAAATATGAGTCTTAATAGGAGGTTCTTCTGGAACAGTTCTGGAAACGATGTTACGAATAACATATTCACAGTATACAAATAAGTTTCAGCAAAACACCCATAAAAATGGCAGCAAAATAAAAGACAAATTAATGTAGGTACATACACCGACTAAACCGTGTAATTTTGTTAATAATAAAAGAAACTCCATATGTAGATAGGTGTTGATAGGTGCTGTAAAGTGTGTTGTGCTTTTAAATACCGCAGACATACTCGTAGATCAATTAAGGTACTGCATTATTAAGGTACGAAAAATTAGAGCAAATATAATCTGTTTGCCATGCCATACCGCACCCTTAACACGAGCGCCCTATGCAGTTGCCTAGTTTGCCTATATGGACAGGCGGGCCCTGACAAGTTCTCAAATAAAATATTACCAATAATAAACTTACAGCGCTGCAGTGACCGTATTCATCATTGGTTAGGTTGGTTTGTTAAGTGACTATTCACTCAATCACTGTCTATATACTGTGAATATCTGCAAACCTACCTTATGGGAGTACTTGTACTAAGAAGAATCTGCAAGAAACTCAACAAGAGCTGCTTTACCGTCTCATGAAGTCATGAAATCACAATGCATTATGATATTATACCTTGATTGCGGAATTTATGAAATAGCTACTTTTATTAATAAATTTTTTCTGCGGATTTCATTCTATGACCCTGTTTTTCCCTAATAAAATATTTTCGAATGTTCAAGGAATTACCAGGAAGTTTATTTTACCCTTTGCCTTATGCAATCTCTACAGATTATAATACTAACTGAGTGTCTTATGTTCTAACCTAATAAAAAAGGAGAAAGCTACTCATTAATTCTACTATAAAATCATAGAGTTAGTAATAAACTTAGGATAACTATTGTTATATATAAAACTAGCTTTTTGCCAGTGGCTTCGCTCGCGTAGTCTCTAGGTTACTGTTTATTTGGATATTCATTTCAGGACGTGGATATAATTACAATGACAAATGAATAGAAAACAACTGTTACTATGGTAACGCTTGAATTCCCTATACAAACTTCCACTCCATTTTCATCCCCTTATTTGCTGTTTTTCGGGATAAAATATAGCCTACGTTCACCGCATATGGTGTTACTTCGCGTAAATGAAAGAATTTTTAAAGTCGGTCCAGTAGTTTATAAACAATCAAATCATTCCTCTGTATAATATTAGTATAGAAGATTAATATGAAATCTATTATTCACTGTGTTCCTTTTTTGAAGTATATTTTTTAATTAATGAAAATATTAACTCGACGCCAGATATAATGAGAGTCGCCAGACACAATGAGAAATATTTAAAAAGGTTAGGATATTTTTTTTTTGTAATGTAACCGTGTAGAGTTCATCTCACGAAATAACTTCCTCGGATCACAATGTTTTCGCTTTTATTAAAAAGGAATAGAAGTTACGCCATGGGACTTCTTTCATGAGACCGACTTAAATCAGAAATCTATGGTATATATGGTTTTCAAATTATCTATGACACTTACTTGGGCATCCCACTTTTTAAAAGTAAAATGAATTGCGAAAATCAAAATAACATGTTATATTATATCAATTTTGTATTCACATTCATCATCATCATCAGCCCTTTTACGTCCCCACTGCAGGGGCTCAGGCCTTGACCCTGATGACCCTCCACGCTCAATGCGGATTGGAGGGTATTAACGACTGCAAATGCAGCCGGGACCAACGGCTTAACGTGCCTTCCGAAGCACGGAGTAGCTTGAGATAATAATTTTTTGGTCACCCATTCCGTGACCGACCCTTGCGAAAGTTGCCTAACGACAACGATCGCGGGCCGCGGCGCTTATCCACTACGCCACCGAGCTACTCACATTTTTATTCACATGTATTCACATTACTATACTGATATTCTGAAAGAAAAATAAAAAGAAAATCCATCAATCCCAGGTGGGTTGATGGATTTTTAAGCATGTTTTATTAAAATAACTTATCGATCTCCATAGTTGGTTTTAAGGTGTCGCCGTCTTTGAGGTCCTGGATTCTATCCCCGGTCGGGTCATTATAGAAAATAAACTTTTTATACGATCTCAGTGGTACGACCGCCTAAGTCTTTCGCTACAACTCTGGCCATAGCTATAAAAACGTTTATTGGTTTTAACAATTAGGTAATATAATTTTCACTATAATATTGTGATTACAAAATTTATGAAATATAATAATATCTATATTCTTTTAGGTATAATGTTCTTGTTATATTGTCTTAGTTTTTGTAGTTTTCTAAATATGATTTAATTAAAAAAAAAGGTGAAATAAACCAAAATGTTTGATTAAATATCTAAACAGTAAAACAACACATTCTCAAACAATATTAACAGATTCATTGATAAAATCAATGAAACGTATTTATAGATATGCCTAAAGTTATAACGAGAGATTTAAGCGCTTGCTCTGAAGGTAGGTTGATACCTTCGTTGTTTCGGATTACCATAATGCTTTAGCTGCTTAAACTGGGATCTGAGCAATATACTTTTATATGTAATATTGTCTATTTTTTTAGTAAGTCTATTCATAGCTCTTTGTTTGTTTTCTTTGTAAGTTCTTTTTTTGCCGTTTTTATTACGTTACGTGTAAGGACAAGAACGAACGATACTGCCTTTGATGTGTCTAGTTTTAACAAAAATGAATAAAAATTGTGTATGTGTTCTGTAGGCTGTACCATAGAAATATTTCCTTGTTCCCAAGCCCTTAGACGATACCTGTGGACGGTACTATGTTGGTCCTGCCATCTAGCGTTTGTATTTTATACATCCTCATTGGGGATTGTTTGTATCTGACCGCACTTGCAACGAACAATGTCTATTGACACAGTGTTTACTTTTAAAATAGTATTGCGCGTCTTTTCGTTTTAACTTCCAATATCATTATCCTATCTAATTTGTACGCATTTTCCACTTTTTCCTTTATTAAATATGCCTTCGAGGGTAAATTATATCACTCGTAAAACTGGTTTAAAAGAGTGAGTATACTAAAGTCAGCAACTTTTACCTTTTGGTTTTGTAAAATGAAATTTCTAAGGGTTTTGCCACAACTACTACGTAAATTTATTATCGTGCAAAATTCATAGAAAAAGTAATTTCTTAATTTTTTGGTAGTTATTATACCTAATTCCTTTTATAAGGAAAAATAATAAGGCGAGTCAATTTTTAGACTAGAAATGAAACAATATGAAATGATGCTCTATTGACTGATTGATCACATGTTAAAAATATTATATTAGTTCAGTAAATATAAAATTTTTAAAATACTTAGATTATACGCATCACACTTTACATTTCTCTCATCTACACATGATCTCTCTCTTCGCTCTTCTAATAACAAGCGATTGTTCATTCCTCCCAATCTCACTGAATTTTAAAGTCAATCCTTTACAGTACAAGCAAGTTTTATTGTTTGGCTATGGAACCATCAGACAGGCGAGATCAAGCTCCTTCAAATCCCAATTAAAATCCCATTTCGTCTCAAAGGTTGAGCCTACTTTTCTATTTTCTTTTCTCACTTCTTGCGCTCTAGTTATCATTTTTGTTTTGAGCATTTTGTTTGTCTTTATGTACCTACGTTTATTTTTGTATGATTTAAATTGTTGTTTTATGCACAATCCGCTATCTAATGTTTGATATTTCCATCCAATGCAAGGTTGCCTGGAAGAAATCGCTGGTTAGCGATAATGCCGCCTTATTTACGTTTTTATGTAAAGATTAATATTTGTCTATGTTATTTTTATATGGTTTGTGCAATAAAGAATACATATCATTCCAATTTTCTACACAAATTAAAACTTCTTCTTTTAAAAAATTTAAATTGCTTTTAAATTTTACTTTATAACAACCGCTACTATACATTTTAAAAGGGATTGTGATAGATTTTAAAATTAGACAAGTAGGCCAACTTAGTGTACATAGAAAAAAAAAAATTAGCGTACAAAGTTTAAATAGGTGGAAGAAAAACGATTATGTATATTTCATTTTTTTATTCTCACGCTTACAGTCGCGTAACTTGTAAACCTTCGACTTGCAGAACTACAATATATTCAAAACATATTGTATTCAAATATACTCTTGTCTTAACTCGTCCATAACATACACGACTCAGAGTATCTCAAGTAATGTATACTTTAGACACCAACAATAAATGCTTTAGAACATAAATATTTAACATATTATTAAAATTATGATTTTATCAAACCACATCAACATGCTCAATATTTCCATTCATAAATTAAATCTTATTGGGATTTGCGCTCATTAAATACTTATATTTTGAAAAAATATAATTTACAATACTATTATTCAAATAATATTTGGTACAAATTCAAACACGTATAAACAACTATTTATTCACTGAGACAGTGCTTTATTCTTCATACTAGAATCTGAGATAATCTTTACATAGGTATTCAAAAAATATGAAATCTTATCTGTGGTCGATGTATAGCATAGCTAGACTGTATAGTGATATGTTATGATAATAAGTTATAAGTTGATATCAATAATGACAAAAAAAATCCGACGGCATACACATGAAGCATAAAAAATGCCCAATACTTCTCAAATATTATAAACTTAATGATTTGAGATTGCATTTAATAATCTTAGCAATACCATATAAGAAGAAAATCAGTCATAGAATTCACTTCCGTTGTATGGCACTTGCTGTCTTATAAAATAAAATATAATTAAAAAATACTAAACACTTATATATTTAGGTAATGTGCGTTAGACGCCTTAAGATTAAAAAATAATATTTACAATAATCCCTCGCCATTATTTTAACAGTAACAATCATATCCATTCTATTAAAATTGTATCATTTTTATGTAAATATAATCAATTATATTTTATTATTTTACAGATTTTTTTATTTTTTTATATCGTTTTTGTGGTTTGCGGCAAAGGATTGCGTTTTTAACGCGGGTTCAGTCGCGTTTTAAGCCTTAAACTTAAATTGACTTTGTCGAGGCCAAACTAATAACAATTTTAGCAGTCTTCTCTAATAATAATATAGAATTACTAAGAGTAGATAATAAAAAAGCACGTTTTGACCTTACCTTTTACGTTCTGAGACCAAATTAATACAGAGTAAAATATTGCTTCATTAATCAATAGGCACTTATTTTAAAAAAATATATGAATGTGTTTTGTTATGCAATATGTCTCGGAACGTAAAATCTAATTGAGTACTTATTTCTACGTTTAGAGATCCATACTGAACGTTTCCTGCGACTCGTCGAAGGAGATGGAATTCGAGCGTGATTTTTTCTGTACCGGGCTGGGCTGAGAGTGGGGTACAGAACCAGGGTTCTTTAAAAGAGCCGCAGGTAGCGAACACTTCGGTGGGGTCTGTGAGATCGGGGACTGCCTCAAAGACATCATGAAGGACCTCTCATAGACAATCCTTGTGCCTGAAACGAAAAAAAGAACTTTCAATTATTTTTTAGTATTTTTTTTTTATATATTTTGGTTGATGTTACCTATGTACAATGATTTTAAAACAACAATCAAGTAACAATTACCTCTAAAATAAAGTAAAATTTAATTTATAAAGCAATAATATTAACTCTACCGTGTGCGAGTCAGTTTCGACCTCAAGCCCGCAGTGAGCATGTTAAAAGCTTTGTAATATCAGTTTAAGAAAATTGTTTATGTAAAACATTTCAATATAAAGTCGAATGATCATGTGCGATGGCAGTGTGCCATAAATTTCAAAACAATAAGCAATTTAGTTTGTCGTTAGTCGGTCCAATGACAAGTGTGACCTACTTACACCTCATTATACATCATTGCGGTCATTCTATTCAAGATAATATAAATATTTCCGTAATACTAAGAGTACGAGGTCGTTGACTTTAACGTTCAGATTTGTTTGTGTGAAATATTCTTGTAGCTAACTATTTAGATACTATTATCTACTTATAGTTTTTGGTAGAATCATATGCCTATTAATGTATTAAAACGCTACAGGCACATGTAACCTAATTCTATTCAATATTATTTGTCGACGCTCTACCTACGTAGACAGTGTTTTCATCAGAAAAAAAATATATTTTTATAAGTGTATATAGTTATTATCATGACCTAATATATTTAACCCTTCTCAAAATATTATTAACAGCACAAGCAATTTTCTACACCTTTTTGTAATATATTTCCCTCATACTTATATTCAAAATATTACCAAAACAAAAATTATGTGTTTTATTTCCAATGAACACGATTCAGTATTTAATTTATAAAAAATGAAACAAGTTTGTTCATGTAGTTTGTTGAATATTGTCAGTAAAACCACGTGTTGATATGGAACAATTTTCATACCACGTGCTTAATTCTTAACAGTACCTATTCTCAAGGTTATTTTCGAAAAACGAATTATTCATATCGCCTGTCCGATGTTCAAGAATCAGCAAATTCGCTAACCTTGAATATCAATAGTACACAGTTCAAATGTCAAACGATAGTAAAACTTAAAGTCAATTGACTTAATTCAATAAGATAAAATCTAGTGTAACCGTGAAAGTACGATTCTTGGATACATAAAATAAAGAAAATATATTATTTCTAACTGGACCTATTGTGTGTGGTAATTGTTTAAGAAAATACATTTAAATAAAATTTAATTTAGAAATCAACAATGAAAATTATAATAAAAAAAATGTATCCTACAAATGTGAAAAGCTAATGTTATTACTATAGACAGATAAATTAACCACACGATTTTGTGTCATTATCGAGTGTTACGTAAGTGATAATCTTTAAATTGATAATGCTGATTAATTTTTACCTATTAACGCTCTGATAATCATTTACAACCTCTAGTATTAGCAAAAAACATATCGAACGCCTGTTTACATTACTTATCGAAAAGTTTCGAAATCAGAAAACTATTTATTAAATATGTTACACTTTTAAACATTTGTGAATACCTACTACGAAATCATAAATAAATATTTATGTTATGTATTTAAATCGAATAAGAATAAACGTCAACATGTATTCTAATGAAAATGTGTTTATATTTTAAGTGGTGTTACAAAATTTATTTGAACAAGTGAATCTATTACATTCATAATTAATCTGACTCATAGGAACACACACTTGTGGACGAGAGGGCGTTGTATCCTCTGTATGTCCATCTATATTTAACATTGTTAACATTTTACAAACCGCATACAACTGGTTAATACACGATGGCTACATAATTTTTAAATTTCTGGTACTAAATATCATTTACATACATATTTTTAAAGAAAAATATTTGATATACATAAGAACTCTTAACTAAGCAGTTGCATCACTTTTGTTTTTTAGCAACAAACACATTATAAACATATAATCTCTATTTGGTTCGAAGATTGTTTTTATTATGTTAGCATATTATACAAACTGCTTAATTGACGAATACAAAGAAGACACGTGTTGTAATAAAACCTACTGTTGATTTATACATAAACCTATTTAACTAGTAGCGTTTAATGTAAATTATTGTTTTTCATTTTATCACTATAAATAAATGTGCTATTTACCTCCAGGCGTGGTAGAGTATAGAGTGCCTCCAGGAGTACTGGAGTATACATCAGGCATCTGCGTAGGGTCCGTGATAAGAACCCTCCTTGATGGTATAGCCTGAGTGTGGGTCGCTTGCCTTGCAATCGGTGAAGCCGACATTCTGAAACTTAGTCCCTTGATGTTAACGTTCTAACACAATCACTGACACGGCTTGCTTGAGTAGACAAGATGGACTGAGCCGGGTGTAGCGAGTGCCTAAAATAAATACGTTCGGTTCACAGCCGACCTACGCACACATTTGCACATTACAATGTAAACAACAACGCACACTAGCACGTTCGCATCAAAACAAACATAGATTAGGAGAGTAGATAGGTTTCGCGTTACGGTCGTCGATAATTCCTTATCGTTAGCCTCACCGAGGCGTTTTGATATGCATTGGTATTAGTTAATTTTTCTGGTTTCTCCAGTTATTTTCCATTCGGTTGAAATTTAGAAGAAAAATTAAGAAAAAAATCTGCGATTTTGTAACTAGATAAAAAGAAAAAATGAATTTACAATACAGTTTAGTTTTGTGTTATTTAAGTTGACATTATTGTGAAAAGAAATATAAGTAAAGAAGCCTACGTTAAATTACAATATATAATTTTCATTTGCGAATAATCTTTGCCCCACACACGATTACAATGTATACGAGATTCTGTCACGTACTCAAACACACACATACAACATACACACACACGTATCTTTACAAGTGCCGGCTACCTATATGCGTAGTTTGCAGTACTCAAAACGTCGACAAAATTTATATTCTTGAATTGTTTATCTTTCCGAATAGTTCTATGTGCTGAGCAGGAAGACTATGTAAAAACAACACCTACACGTAAAATTTACGTTTGACAAGCTGATATTTGGCTTGCCCTACATATTTTCTATTAACGGTGGTTAGGGATAGTTATTTTTGCCCACTGTTAATTAACTTTAATGTTAGGTGAAAATGTAAGGTGCATTTTATTTTTAAATTTACTCTCACTATTTCAAAAACAAAACGAAACGCTCATTATTTAATTTATCATATTATTAATAATCAATCAGAAGTATTAATTCATCATTATGAGATTCTAATGCCATATGTATCTTTTCTCATATATAATAAATACGGTCAATAACCTAGATGTTTAGACCTAGACTAATGTCGGCTAAGCACTTCTGCGCTACATATTCTTTACTTACTCTATCCATAATTGTCTCTACAAACATTCAATTCGTATTTTTTAAAGATTTTTTTTTTTATCAAATTTTTATCCACGGTAAATATCGGTGGATCCAATGTGGCAACTAAAGCGATAATTTTATTTTTTTGCACACGCCAAGGCTAGCCGGTTTCGATTCACGGACAGCGAATCAAACAACGTACGTCGCTATAAATACAACAAAAAAATAGTACACGCCGTCTCGTTTTCGGTAGTATGGCATGGCGAGTGTGAGGAGGAAAATAGTTTACATTTTTTTAAATGCATTACATTTTTTAAACCGCTTTAAAATAAAAAAAAGTATATGTGGCTCGGGTATAAAAGTGATATTGACCCTTAACCCCTTGTAGCGGCGATATAAATCACTCAGTAGTTTAAATAATTATTTAAAAATGTAATAATTTTATATTTTTTTAAACTATTGGGTGATGTATGATATCGCTGCTACAAAGGGTTACAAACCAAAATTGGTTTTAATTTAAAAAATCTTATTTCATAAGTTAATAAACGAACATTTAAATACAATCACTGCTACAAGGGCTACAAACCAAACTTGGTCAAAATTGTATGTGTGTATAAAATTTCTCCAGGTGATTTAAAACTCAACCCACAATTTATTCAGGTTTCAATTCAATCGGAGAAATGACACGGATTTGTATAGCTTGTAGTTCTGTTGACTGCATTCTTAAATAAACAGTTTTGCTACTGTTCCTAGTATTTCCTGCCAGTGAACTAGTCTAAATTATTTTAAAAAATAACAGTGGCATGTGAAGCTACCGGTGACGATCTGTTACTAACAGATGGAATGGTAGCGTCTATAGGTGCCCTAAAAAAGATGAGCTGACCTAACCAAAGGACGTTGCCCTATCAATTGCCCATAAAAAATGTTCAAGTTCTTTCGGTCTATTAACTTTTAATAATACTTAGAAGTGAAAACTTCTAAATTCTGAAATAATAAGATTAGCCATAATGCTTCAATACGTTTATTATTTATTTTGAATGTGTAAGCTCTTAGAATATATACTATTAGCTCGACTTGTTTCAGTGGCTCTTTAAGTTAGACCCACGATCTTTGACCGGTAGATATAGTTCATAGAGTAAAGACTAAAGAAGATTTTTAGGAAATCAAACTCCTAAGGGGTATGAAATTCGAAAACTTTATTTTAGGACTACTGATAAAAAATTAGTAAATACCACTTCAGCATTTGTAGTTATTCTGCCCTAAAGAAGGTGAAATAAATATTTTGAAAATAAATGTTTGTGTGGAAGAAAATTACATGATTTCCTTCCATACAAATTTTCAATATTAGACCTAATGCTACGACTGAAACCACTGGCTGAAAAATGGTTTTATATATTTATCTTTACAATCGAGTGCCTTTACCTTATGTTTCCTATATAATAGAAATAAATGAAAATGAAATAAAAAACCTTTATTTTTAACAGTGTACAATTTATGCCATACTCTAAACATTATTATACAACGAGGACAATAGTTATGAGAAAAATGGCGACATAGTCCTGTAAGCCTTCTAACTAAACCTACTAAACCTTCTTAGTTATTTGAAAAGCCCAAGCAGTCATCATTTAGACGTGTAGTCAAGTTCGAATTATATTGCCATATTAAAACCATTTGAACATCAATAACTGGAAAAAAAATTTCGACAGTAAAAAAAAGTAAAATAAGCATATCAATAAAAAAGAACACAATTTTTCCATGAGGGTACTATTAATGCAATTCAAAGTTAACGAGAGTCATAACTAGAATACGTTTTCTTCCTTACACTTATAACTTCCTCGTACATGAAAACACTTCCTGCAAACCTCTCTCAATTATATGCAAATCGTTGTACAAAGGAACCGTTTATGACAATGCGTTCAGTGAAACTATTACTAATACAAGTTCAAACAACATTATTTAATTTGGTAAATTTGCTTCCGCTTGATTTAGTACTTGTCAAAAACTTTGAACCGAATCTTTTTTAAACTAATTGAAATATATTAAAAATACTTTAATATAAAAAAAATATCGTAGTATACAAAATGTAACACAGTGTATGAACCGCTTGTTCACTTTTTAATCATCATTAAGTTTCAATCGGTTTTGAAATTTGAACATAAAATATTTATAAATTGCAAATTACGTTGTCAATTGCACAAAACACCTTAATATTCAGTCAAATCAAAGTCAAAATAATCTTTATTCAAATAGACTTCTTAAAAGTACTTTTGAATCGTCCAACGTTTTTTCCCCTAACACTCGTTCGGAGTAATGACATTTACAAAAATCATGCGATTACCAAATCAATATAACAATATAAATTAATTACATGTACATCAGTAACAACTGATTAAACCATTATTTAAACTGAGTAAGAGCTCTATTATACAATGCGTACATGAAAATTTGTAATCAATGCAAAAAATTTAATATTATGTTCGTTACTGTAAGCCACTTACTAAAATTGGGCAAAAAAAATATGTCTATAAAAATATTGTGTACTTAAAATTTCCATACTAAACCGGAAGGACCTACAGTTTGTTTAATACTATTAAAATAATCATGCCATTATTAAGAAAATTGATATTTTTATTATTAAAAACTTCAGTAAATAACAATTTCTTCTTTAACTTTACTAAAATATACACTTATTGCAAACTAATTTTCTTCTCCAAAATCCAAAATATTATACTTTAAATGAATTCGTTGAAAAATTCTATATTCAAACATCTACATCCAGGAGTCGATCAAGTTGATATTAATAAACTACTACATGGACGTTCAATGTAGTTTTTGTATAACGCAAAAATCTCTCGGGAAGTAAGCGCTAATAATGTTTATTTTTGTATCAAAAATTTCATGTTATTTTTAGTTTTCCTTGACCACCACTGGCTCGATACGTCAGATATCAAATCTTCCGTAATAATAGAATCTTATACGTAAAGAAACTGCGTCCTTTTACCTCTTTGCCCACATCAAGCTATAAAGAAATAAGGCTGCTTCACAAAAAAACCTTAAAAAAGGTAAATATAAAACTTAGTATCTGAAAAGAGGTTAATATGTCCAAGAAACTATAATTGTAGTTGATATTAATCGCGTGTTTCTTAAATTAGACCACCTTTTAGCTAAGTAATATATTTTTTTTAATCATTTTTGTATATTTTTAAAGACTTAGGCACTTATAACTTCTAAATTTAACGTAGCGCATAGAAGCCTAACTATATCTTCATGCCGCATCACTTGAGTACGGGGTAGGCAGAGAGAACAGAGTGCCTCAAGACACTGTCCTTACATCCTCTTTTCTTCTCCTCTACTTTCATTATTCTTTTCATGCTCGCCGATTTATATGAGTTTGAAATCATCTCCTAACAGCACGCACAATAATACTTATGACTTTTGTATGCGACTCCATTGGTATAGATTATAGGAATGTTGTCCTGGAATGTGCTTTGAAAGTAATATATTATACCAAGAGCTAAGAATAATTCTTGGTATAATACGTTTCTACAAAATGACATCATTCATGAACGTATTGGAACTTAGGCTAAATTCTATCACATAATTATGTACCAGTGCAAAACGTGCCAGTTTGCAAGTAACACCAAATACAGGTTCCAAAGAATTTTAGCTAACAATGCCGTTAAATTAGGATTGCAAAAAGGTGCAATAATCAAGTTGTACCCTATTCATGCTAGAGCACGCATTCCTAAATGTCTATAGATATGCTATTTATTGTGTCAATAGTTACTTAAAGTTGTATAGTGACTTGACTGACGGGTTCAGATATCTTGGCATCAATTCTGGAGTGAGTTATCTAACAATTTTTGATGAATTATCTACTTACAACAATCCAAATTTTAAACTATATTTCTGATTTCCAATAACAGCAAAGTTAAAATACTCGTCTGCCTAGAATATACCAGTCATTGATATCACCAGCCCTTTTACGTCCCCACTGCAGGGGCTCAGGCCTTCCTTATGG